AACTAGTGAAAACATCATGAGGATTTTTCTACATTAAATTTCTGCCAATAGATCCTTTCACCTGAATCTTACACACTGGAGCTTTAAATTAGTCATAATTTTTACTGTTACATTACTTCGATAACCACATCTTGGAAAAAGCTTCATGTTGTGTAATATCCTGTTTTCTATTCTTTTTACATAAATATTTGGTTATTCATTAATCTGAACTTATCTGGATGTTCTGCAAATGTTTTGTCTTTATTGGTTTACAGAATCTGCTCTTTATGAAAACACCTCTAACAGATTCAACGGTAGTTTGATACCATGTCTGTGGAAATCTTGTGAGCCATTGTTCTCGGCATGCAGCGGCTAAGTTGCCCTCTCTGTATGTCTGCAGACTTTTGTATTGGTTTTTGAATATAAAAGCCTCCTTTGGCTGGTTCCTACCTACCAGTGTGTATGTGTGTCCTACATTTTCACTGAAATCATTGAGGAACATATTTAGAAAATGTTTACATGTTAATGCATCAGAGCTGGATTTTTGTCCATGACATTTATTTGCACATTGACTGACTATTGTGTTCATTCATTTGAAGGACAATTGTAAAAGTTATATTTATCAGTTGGTATTGTTTCTGTTTATTCATACTGCTCTCTCCATCAGTTCACTTTTAAAAAAGGTTTTGATCTCAGTGAGATTTTTACATGGTTTAACAAAAGGACATAGAATTATTGTATTCATGCATTTAATGACATTAGCTTTCATTAGCACACAAGTCTAAAATATGTTCTAATGACCTGGTTGTCAAAGCCTAATGACAAACGGGTTTAAAAAGAGGAAGATCCTCCTAAATTCAGAGTTACTTGCTGTAAATATTTACTTACAAATAATGAATGTTCATCTCTTCTTTTCAGACGTCAAGACATGAACTTGTCATCCACCAACGTGACCGTGGTCATCGAGTACAGAGACTCCTTCACTAAAGCTGTGACCAAGAACGTGATTGTTGTGGTTCTCAGCATCTCCATCAACTACATCAATGCAGGCCTCATTCACACCTTCTGCAAACACCAGGTGTGATAATCTTTTCACGTGTATGAATACAAATCATTGAACGAATCCTCTGCAGCTCTGGTTGTAGGCATATTAAGACATTTTCATTTTAACTCTAAAATGATCTGGTAATTCTATCCCTTTTTTATAATGACACCCCAGAGATGTGTGCTGGTATAAAAAGAGAACAGATTGTCTGTTCTGCAGTTGGTTGCAGTAACGGTGACTGACAGTAGATTTTTACAGTGTAGATGTACAGCTACATTAATCTGGTGATTTCATTTTTCATTATGTTTGTGTAGCTACAATAGTAAATGAGAGAAAGATGGTGTCCCATTCTCTAAGTGCAATGGAACCTTTGTGAGAAAAAAGTCAAGGAACAATTTCAAAACTCCCGTTCAAGAATCATAAACTTGAAAAGAAAGAATGTGAAAGACTGTGAAAGATTGTGTGGTGGCAGCGGGTTGGGATCGAGGTGGCTGAGGAGATCTGTGGTTATGGCTTCTTAAATTAATGTACAAGTTTTGGACATTTGTGTTATTCCAAGTTTTTTTACGATAATAACAAAGTGCTGATACCAATATCAGTTAAGTATCTGACTCAGACTTCCAGAGTCTTCAAACTACATCCTCCTTCACGTGTTGTTTTCTCTCATCTTCCAGATCTTCTACATGAATCCTCGCTACATCCTATTCATTCACCTGGTCGTCAACGACATGATCCAAGTGACGTTGACCGTCACCCTGTTCCTCATCAGTTACACCATCTACAAACTCAATGTCTCCGTCTGCTGCATCTTTATCCTGATTGCTCTGTTCACCACAGAGAACACCCCTCTGAACCTGGCCTGCATGGTGGTCGAGTGCTACATCGCCATCTGCATTCCTCTTCGCCACGTGCAGATCTGCACCGTCAAGAGGACTCTGATGCTGATTGGTTTAATCTGGGCGACCAGCATGTTGTCAGTTCTTCCTGATCTTTTCATCACCTTGGCCACAGAGCCACTGGACTTCTTCAACTCCAAAGTGTTCTGTCTCAGAGAAACTGTCTTCCCAAGTGCACTCATTACCAAGAAGAGGGACATCACATACACAGTGTTTCTAGTCATAGTTTGGCTCATTATCTTTTATAGTTACTTCAGAATTCTGTTCACTGTAAAAACAGCGAGCAAAAAAAACAAGAAAGCCAGAAACACAATTCTCCTTCATGGATTCCAGCTGCTGCTTTGTATGACCACATATGTAGCCCCTCGGTTATTCAGTGTTTTGCTGCAATGGTTCCCTCAGACTTATACAGACTCTGTCTTTGCTTATTATATTATTGTGCAGATGCTGCCACGATCCATTAGTCCAATAATCTATGGCGTACGAGACAATACTTTCAGGGGGTATCTGAAAAGGTATCTGCTGTGTGGACTGAGGCCACAGTGAGAATCGGGTCGTGGATGGTTTTCTACGGCGTACGAGACAAAACTTTCAGGGGGTATCTGAAGAGGTATCTGTTGTGTAGAGTTAGTATAAACTAACCAAGCATTCACATGACTGGCTCTTTGTTGAAAGCTTCAATCAAACATTCTTCTACACTTTTAAATCTAAACTGCTTTTCACACTATTCAGTGTTTCCAAATACACACAGGAACTGCAAGTCTGGTCAAGACATACTGAAGTCAAACTGGTCATTTTGTTAACTCTGCAAAGGAGATAATGTTTTAGCCCCTTTCTGTTTCTTGACTGTTTATTTAACGGATTTCCACAAAACGTGGTGAAAGGATGTAACAAGAAAGAACCGATTAAATCTTTGCAWMRATCTGGACTCAAGGACAATTCCAGAAATGTTTATAGAGAATAATACATGGATCTCGATTAAGAAACTCAAAGGACTGATATCTACGAATGTGAGTAACGTGATGTKGCTTAATTGAAATTTAGTGGATTGTTGGGCTCAAGCTACTTCTAGCCAAGTAGGTTATGTTTTTCGTCTGCCTTAGTTTGTTTGTTAATTACCACAAAACGTGCTGGAAGGATGTGATATGAGTAAGGAAAGAACCCAATAAATATGAAATTGTAATTAATAAATTGTATTATTCTAAAGAAAGAGTTCAGAGACTTGTAGAATCAATGCCAAGACATTAAAGCTGTTCTGATTACGCATTCTGCCTCAAAACTTTGACTGACACTGTCAACAAGCCACGTTCACTCATACACTCATGAATATTATGCCGTCATGCCTCATTCTGCAGAAGACAGTCCTGATATAAAGCCAACACTCAGCCCTCAGGCTTATTTCAGTTCTGGTGGAGGAGTATACGCAGGTGCACTGTTGGAGGTAGGGCAGTTTTTAATGTTATCACACTGTATCAGTGCAGTATCTTCATATCATGTTGTTTATAGTSCTGCAATTATTTTTAAATGTATGTGTGTATACTATTCAACAACAGGATTTGTTCTGCAACTATTTTCATCTCCAACATGAAGAGTGTGTCATTTAATTTCAAATATTTAGTAAAATCGAGAATGTTTATCAGTTTGAACAGACCTTTACAGATGTAGGTGTGTTCTAGATATTTTTAGGTTTGAATGGTTTCACTGTAAAAAAAAAAAAGAGAACAGATCCAGCTCTGCTGTTACAGAGCATGTTTCAGGAACAGGATCATTCCTTCTCTTTACGATCAGCTCAYATCTGTCAGCGTAACATCTGGGATCTCTGCCTTTATTATTATCTATTATGTTTCTGCACTTATTATCCACTGGGGTTTTGTCCAGTTCTTATCATGCACACTTTATCTGTTTCTGGTGTATAAAATGTTAAATGCAAATCTTCAAACTTATTTACTGTGTTTTTATCCTGTATCTGGCCTTGCAGGTGTGTTTTTTAAAGTGCTATGTAAGATTTATTCTAATATCTGTAGATTATTACTTGAACGGTTGACAGATGTATTCCTTTTGTTTCTGGTACAAAGACAAATGTGTTAAAGCTTGAATTAACAGAACAAATCTGAACAAACACTTGTTCATTTTGTACATTAGTCTTGCAGGCTCCTSACATCGTCACCATGAATTCCTCCTCTTACAACATTAATGTGACGATWCTGAGTTATCGAGAGTCTCAGGGCACAGCTGTGGCCAAAAACGTGCTCCTTCTGGCTCTTGGTCTGACCATCAACTACATCAATTGCACCCTGATTCACACCTTCAGAAAACACGAGGTCAGAATCCTTCTCAACGTGTTTGTCACCATAGTTATTAATATTTTCATGATCATTATTATCAGTGATTTCAGGTCGAAAGAGAAACAAACAGGGGAGAGTTTCTTTGACTTTTTTCTTCTTCTCCTCTTTCAGATACTTTACCTGAATCCTCGTTACATCTTATTCATCCACCTGGTGTTGAACGATATGATCCAGCTCACTATAACAATCAGCCTGTTTTTCATTAGTTACGTCTTCTACAAGATCCAAGCTACGCTCTGTTGCCTCATCATCACCCTTGCCGTCTTCACCACCCTCAACACGCCACTGAATTTAGCTGCCATGGCGGTGGAGTGCTACATCGCTATCTGTCTACCACTGCAACATGCTGAGTTCTGCAMCATCAAAAGAACATGCATTGCCATCGGTTGGATTTGGGCCCTGAACATAGTTTCTGCTCTGTCAGATGTGTTTATCGTTCTGGCAACAGAGCCACTACGTTTACGTTCTACTATTTTTTGTGAGAGRRAKAACCTGTTCCGACRCCCTATAAKTTTARAAAAGAGGGAGGTTTCCTATGTAATCTATCTGATCTGTGTTTGGTTGACTCTCCTCTACGCATACTTCAAGATCTTCTTGGCGGCTAAAGCTGCTAAAGAGAGTAAATCAGGGGATGGAGATGCAAAGAAGGCARGTAAAACCATCCTGCTTCATGGCTTTCAGCTGATGCTGTGTATGCTGACCTATTTAGCCCATGTTATAAAGGATGCCCTGTTGTACTTGTCCCCCAAACATTTTGTACATGTAATGTTTGTTTCTTATATCATCATTCAGGTGTTACCCAGATTTATCAGTCCTATAGTGTATGGGCTACGAGACAAGACTTTCAGACAGCACCTGAAAAAGCACCTGATGTTTACACTGAGTTCAACCATCAAACCGTGGTGAAGTTCATGTCGCTGGACTAAAAGAACCAGACAGATTTTTCTGTGAATATGAGAATGATTCAATAACGATTCAGCATTCAACCATTCAACATATTCAACCATTCAACATTAAATTATTATTATCAAATTATTTRTCCTCCATCATTACTTCACATGGCTGCTTTTCCATCAGTACAATCAGTCACACAAATCTGAACTCATTTGTTATTTAGAATGTGCTTTTCAAAGTATTATAGACTRTAACTGTTGTGTGTGCTGTGCAAAATAAGGTTTTCAATTCAGAAATCAAACTCTGCTCCTCTGCTCTTTTCTAATCCCTCAAATGTAGAACTGATCTTTATAAAAACAGCTGAGTTCATATTTAGGGTCCTGGATCACATTTCGAAGATGTCGGATCATGAATCCTGATCTTTCCGGTCGCTTGAACCCTGATGTCCTGGCCWTACACGACTCGTCTCACTGAACAGTGGGCGCAAAAACTGTTCTTCCAATGTGTTTAAATATGTATCTCATAAACTCYAGAGCAAATAARATAAACACAAAGTAACCTGCTCCATGTGTCCTCATAACTTCTGAATGTGTTGGTGTTTATCTTTAACGTGTAAAGCGAGCTCAGGTCAGGTGGGAGTGTAAGACCGGCCTCAGGGTCATACATGTGTCTATAACGTGTGTCTGCCCTGATCTGAAGCAGCCACAGCAATAACTTTACAGCACTGGGCCTCTGCAGTGTCCTGGCGTCGAGGAAATACAGTCGTTAYCAGAAATGTCACATTGCAGCACCACTGCAGACACGCAGCACAAACGCTGCCTGTGTGAACAGCAGAGACACTCGCTGCCTAACGAAATGCGGGATAATAATCAGACRCCGTAATCGTAATTCGAAATTCCATTAATCGCCCAACTGTCATAACGAGGGATGACATCATCACAGTGAAACATTGTCACTTAACAAATTCAAATTCTAAAAATATTGATCAGGTTTAAACTGGTATCAGTAATTGAACTTGTTGTCTGTCCTTCTAGTTTTTTTTTTAAATACACACAACATGAACACACAATAATAATCCCAAGTGTCATCTATAAACCATCTATATAAAGTCCTGACATCAGCAGCTGCAGCAGATGTTTACCAGGTGTTGATGTGCGACATCCTACTGGGTATGATCAGTCTTTCTCATTGTTATAGCACTGAACTGCTTCTGCGTGAACCAATCATCAATAACTCATCATATCATTGCTGCATGTATGTATGTATGTATGTATGTTTTTATTACATGCGATGTGCTTTTTTCAGTTATTTACTTTGTTTAGATTCATTATTGTGGGATTTTCCTGAAGATGAACAGATTTTCTGTGAAATGATTTTACAGGATAAAGAGCCAGTTGTTTTCCTAAAGTTGTCGTAGTTCCTTAGTATCTCAGACAAAAACCAGCTCTGGGTTTAATTTTACTATTCGCTCTGAAATAACTTAATAACAGCTTCAGAGTGAGTAAAGAGTTTGTGACAAAGAAAGATAGCAAATCTCTAAGAGGCGGGAAATTAATGAAGTAAATTACTTTTTAGAAAGATTTAAAAAATGACATGTTATTCTATACATTTCAACATTTCATGGAATGTTTTCCTAGTCTATATTAACTTCAAAACAGTTTGTGCTTTTTCAGATGCTGCCCTTCCAGACATGAATTTATCATCTGTTAATGGGTCTTTCGTCGTGAATGAGAGTGAGCGAGACACCTTCACCACAGCTGTGACCAAGAATGTGATCGTGATGGTGCTCTGCATTTCCATTAACTACATCAATGGTACTCTGGTTCACACCTTCAGGAAGCACCAGGTCTGTTTTCATTCTCAGCATGGACGTGAATTTACTCTTCTGAAAAAAAAAATATTTTATTTGAGCTGATTTATTATCTATTCAACAGATTATTAAAAATATTCAGAAGATAAAAAGCAAATTATTTTTCTTTATACAAAATTAAAAATGTATTGTCTCAGATAGAGAAGACGCAATGGTGAAGAACATTATGTGAAGCATAAGTTAAATATAAGACAAAGATCTCTGTGCACAGTGACGATTAGGAACAGTATCATCTGCCCTGAAGAGCTGCAGCTTTAATATCAGTCCAGAGGACAAACGGCTGAGACTGTGAGAACAAGGTTCACTCTGTTTTGAGACAGAGACAGAAATGACAAATTATGCACCTTAAGCCACAATTAAATATTAAAGATAGAATTTTTAATTTTAATAAAAGAAGAATTCAATCAACTGAATAAAGTGAAGAAAAAACTACAACAATTTCTATGAGAACAAGGCAACACTAAATAATATTATATTTTGAATTGTAATCCTGTTTATTAATTGTTTATGCTTCAGTCATATTCAGTAACACAACTTTGTCAAGAGCTTATCAGACTTCTTCTGTTATTCACAGATGGGGCAGGATAATAAATAAGAGAAAATAGTAAAAACTAAATAAAATAAAGAGAAGAAGCTACGTTGAAGAACTTAATTATCGAAATAGTTTAAAAAGTTCAGATTCTGCGAATAATAATAAAAATGTGCCTTTCAGAGATTTAAGAGCTGCACAGATCTCTTCAGGGGCTCGCTCACCCTTTACAACTCTAAAATTTAAGTTATATTTAAGCTGTAAGTTTGTTTTCTTCACCTCCTTTCACTCACATGTAATTTGTTGTTCACTCTCTTCATTCTCTTTCCCTCCCCTCCTTTTCTTTTTCTTACAGATCTTCAATTCGAGCCCTCGATACATTCTGTTCATCCACCTGGTGATAAACGACATGATGCAGCTGGCCCTGTCCACCCTGCTCCACATCATCAGCTACGCCCTGTACAAAATCAACGTCCCCTTCTGCCTCATCCTGCTCATCATTACCATCATCACCACCCTCAACACCCCGCTGAACCTGGCTGGAATGGCGATAGAGTGCTACATCGCCATCTGCATCCCCCTCCGCCACAGTCAGATCTGCACCGTCAGGACCACCTACATCCTGATCGGTCTGATCTGGGCTGTGGGCGCTCTTTCGATACTACCCGACCTCTTCATCATCCTGGTCACTGAGCCTCTGCAGTTCTTCCACTCTGGAGTGTTCTGTGTCAGAGACAAGGTGTTCAGGAGCACCTACAGCCTGAAGAAGAGAGACGCATCGCACATCGTTTGTCTCGTCTTCGTTTGGTTTACGCTCATTTACACGTACTTCAGGATTCTGTTCACTGCCAAGGGAGTGACTGCAGACTTTAAAAAAGCCAGGAACACTATTCTGCTCCATGGCTTTCAGTTGCTGTTATGCATGATTGTTTATGTGAGACCAATGTTTGAACAATGTCTGCTCTACTTGCTGCCCCAGAATTACTTGACCATACGTTTTTCCTCCTACGTCATTGTCCAGATCCTGCCGCGCTTTGTCAGCCCCATCGTCTACGGACTGCGAGACCAGCTCTTCAGGAGATATGTGACGAGGTACTTGCTGTGTAAAGTCAGTACGAGCAACAACCACCGGGAAAATGTCACCGTGCCGAAAGTGATGCCGATGATTAAACTGAAGTGACAAACCACAAACATCTAATATCAGTGTGGACCAGAGAAACAATGTGTGATCATCAATTTTGTTTAAAATCCTGTGATTATGTTTTTACTTTGTAATATCGGAGCAGCGATAACATTAAAATATAAGAATAATACAAATAAAATCAACAAATACTGAAACTCTTTTCTCATTTTTCAGGTTTCATTTTAAAACATTAATTTTTACTAAACTGTTTATGAGTTATTAACTCAAAACTATGGTTCAGGAAGCCGGGGATCATGGGTAATATCCAGCGTTTAGTTGTCTTTCAGTTCACAACACAGTCAGAGCTCTGCTTAACATATTGATGGAATAAATCTCCATGTGTGGCTGCAGGGGGCGCTGTTGCTCAGTAAAATTTATATAGTGTTACACTGTAGTGTAAAAGACTATTTTTTATTTCTAAAAAATACCTAATACAGAAACCAAGCGTCCATGTATAATCTACACATGGAGTCTGATAACTGAGCAGTTTCTGCTACTCAAATGTACAACGAGGAGTCTTTAACTGCAGTGGTCTCATTTTAATATCGCTGCGTCTTTATGAACTACAACAGCAAAGGAGACAGATTCTAAATCTCTGTTGCTGGTTTGATATTATCTGTGTATTTTTGCTTAGCTCCTAAAACAAATGCACATGCTGAGTTTTCACCACAGGAGACGGGGAAACAACTGCTTTGGTCCACAGAGGCACGGAAATCAACAAACAAGAGAAGCTCCTTCTGGGGGTTTTAAATAAAATGTCTCCTGAGACTGTAAAATATTGTGAAGGACATTTTTCATAACTAAAAAGGAAACGTGTTAGCTGAAGCCAAACATTTCCAAATACAATGAAGAAAAACTGACCTAACGTGAGGACAACAGTGTCTCATGCTACACTGCGTCCCTCACTACATGGAAACACTGGTCTCAAATTGAGGACATAAATATCACAGGGGAAATAAACGATGCTCTGATCTCACTGACGTCAACGTCACAAACTACGACCTCCATCATTATTATGTTTTTCTGTTTATAAAGACTCGCCTGAAGAGACGTCTGTCCTCAGTGTCTGACCTGGACACAGGTAGGTGGAACAGGACAGAGATGGAGGTGAGGTAGCTCCAGACTGCTACTCTCTGCTGAACAATATTACACAGAGGGTTCGTTCAGCTCAAGATTTATTCAGGTTCACATGTTTTCAAAACATTCTTTAGATTACGAGTTAATCTTTAATCAGGAAGAATGTAAACGTGAATATAAATAATAACGAGAGGAAAATGTATTAATGCTGCATGTTTCAGCAGCTGATTGGTCTGAGCAATGTTAAACTGTTTTTATAACAAACTAATAGAACATTAAGATCTTCACAGTTAAAACCCTTTGTATCGGCTTTAGTTAATATCAATGAAATAATTAACACTAGTACATGTTGT